GTTTGATGATCTGAAACATTAAAGTGTGACAAACATGCAAAAAAATAAGAAATCAGGAAGGGGGCCAACACTTTTTCACACCACTGTGTATATATATATATATATATTATACACACAGTACACACACATATATTGTGTAAACAAAAACTTTTATTTTGGATGCGATTAATCACGATTAATCGTTTGACAGCACTAGTTATTTTAGTACATGAAGCTAAATGAAAATGAGAAATGTTTCCTTGGCAACTAGCTGAAATATAAACAAAGAAATAAAAGTGTTTTATTTCAGTTAAAGTTTATTTCAAGTTTTTTTTATTTTTTATTTTTATTATGGTTTTAGTTAAAGATCCCCTGAAGTGCCTTGAAACACGCAGCATTATTCTATGTGGTGACGTAATTTCAACTGAAACAGGAAGAGAAGGCGGGACATATCAAGCAGCCCCGCCCCCTTTTTAAAATAGCCAATAGCGTTTAGTTTATATCTGCTCGGGCCAGAGCCGTTGAGCTCGGTAAAGCCGCATTTGACAGCCACAGTCTAATAGATTACCCCCTAGATTCAATATGAAACTCTTAGTAAAACAAAATAGTGGTCATAATCATGCTGAGGTTGTGTACTTTTTATAAACTAAAGTTTTTAATATATGCCAACTCGCGCATATGATCCGCTCCGTGCGATCGCATCTCTGGACCGGAGCCAAAGTCCAGATCAGACTGTGTGCGCTGCTGCGGTTCGCGTGAAACAACATGAAACCAGACCTCATTTGCATCAATCGAAAGCATATTTAGACTATCTGAATCGTTTCCTATCGCCTACATTGTGCACTTCGAGCCATTCACCATACAGGAAATACTACACTGTGCAGGAAATACTACACTGTGAACAAGCGACCGATCTTAGCTGCAGCTTCAGCGTCTATTTTATAGTGTAGGGGGCGGGTGCTTCGGATTCTAGAGAGCATTTGATTGGACAGAAAGTTTGATGAGAAGCTGAAGTACGATGTGACGTCAAAAAAATCGTTGAGCCGTTTTGGCGGAAGGGACGAAGTGCAAGCTTTGAATGCTTATATCTTTTAAATGCGATTTTTGTCACTGTTTTGGAGCACACTGCCTTATAGATAACCTTACAACTAACATATTGATACTAACACCCAAAAAACTTTAATTTTGATTTCATGGAGACTTTAACTGTAGCACTGGTTCATAAACATTAATGTCATGTGTTTTTTTTTCTTCTTTTTTTTTTTCAGAATGCCAACTCTTGTCCTGTGGACCGGATAGTCTTCAATAACATTCTCCTGAGAAAGTGCTACGGTGGGAAAGTTCAGAAAACAGTGAGTCACATAAAGCATCCTTACATCAGCATTGTTGTTGCGCTTAAAAGGGTTTGTTCACACCAAGAATAATAGCTATAAAGATATCTATAACTATATAATAACTATTGGCTGTCAATGTTTTTCTAACAATATTGATCCTGTTTGTCGTTATTGTTATTATAGCTGTGGTGTGAACTATATACTCTTAAGAATTAGAATGAGCCTTTTAAAAGATAATTTTAAAAGACTGCATTGAAGAGTTGAACACGCATGAACAACACAATATCATAATTTATAAAAGAGTGGAAAAATGGAAAACATGCCTTAGTTGACAATAAATGTGTTGAAATGTATGAAATGACTATTTTAAATCTACTATAAAAAGTGTTGCAATTACGATAAAATATTTTTATCAATTATAATGAAACATCACAATTTTTTACATCACCTTTAATAAATTAATTTAAAAAAAGTTGTACACACCTGGTGCACATGACATCCTGTAATGTCACGCATTCAAGTCGGAAACAACACTGAAGTAGTCTTAAACAAAAGAAAATAAATATATTGTGAACAATAAACCCAAATAATTACATCTGAATGTGAATACATTTATATCTGAAAATCATTTCTGTCACTTCCTTATACATTGTATCAACAACTAAATATCTAAGTTGAGTAATTATTAGTAGACCTTCCACTACAGGGGGAAGTCGTGGCCTAATGGTTAGAGAGTCGGACTCATAACCCAAAGGTTGTGGGTTCGAGTCTCGTACCGGCAGGGATTGTAGGTGGGGGGAGTGAATGTACAGCGCTCTCTCCCACCTTCAATACCACGACTGAGGTGCCCTTGAGCAAGGCACCGAACCCCAACTGCTCCCCGGGCGCCGCAGCATAAATGGCTGCCCACTGCTCCGGGTGTGTGTTCACGGTTTGTGTGTGTTCACTGCTGTGTGTGTGCACTTTGGATGGGTAAATGCAGAGCACTAATTCCGAGTATGGGTCACCATACTTGGCCACATGTCACGTCACTTTCACTTTCACTTTCACTACAGACTTGCTCTCCGCTCGCTGATCTCTATAGAGTATATATAGATACTAGTTATATATATATATATATATATATATATATATAGTGGAAATACTGAGTAGTATAACTAGTATATATGTGTGTGTATATTTCTTGAAGAACACATTGAACACATTGAACGCACCTTAATATCAGCTTTGTGTTTGCTTAGATTGCAGTGAAGAAGCCTGTAAAACCTGTGGAGGAGCAGGTGGATGTGGACTTGGATCAGACCAGCTGTGAGGTTTGCGGGGGTCGAGACCGTGAAGATCGTCTCCTACTGTGTGATGGATGTGATGCTGGGTAAGAAGTGTATGACAAACTCTCAAATACGACAGAAACTCAAAATCATCGATGTCCAGTCCTGCAGAGTTCAGCTCCAGCACACCTGCCTGGAAGCTTCTAGTGAGTCTGCAAACATCAAGTAGCTCGTTCAGGTGTGTTTAATTGGGTCTGGACTGAGGAGCCAAACTCTGCTGGAAAGTTTGGGTACCTTATGGGGTAGGTGCAAATGCGCAAAGTTCATCAATGATTTCATAAAAATGAGACATGTAGCTCCTTTAAAATCAGACTGGACATGAAATATGAAAAAAAAAATAGCTGATGGGATCAGTTTAGACTATGAATAATAAATGCAGCTAACATATTAATTTTAATGCAAGTGCTTAAAGGTCCCATATTGTCCCAAATTTCCTGGCTTTTTTCACGATTACTGAGGTCTAGGGGCTATTTAACTACCATATAAGTTTCAAAACATTCAGTCCACAGTAAAATGCACACAGCCTGCTTAAAGTTCTAGCTATTTTTCACGAACCGTTGTGACTTCCGTAAAAAGTTGACGTCAGAACTACACAGTCACTGCCTTCAGTCACCACCCCGAGCACCGCCCCCCGTCCCACTCTGCTTTTGCCAAACCCCCAGACAACATCACGTCCATGCCATTGCTGAGCAACGACAACACGGAAACATGTCGAAAAGGTTAAGGTTTAACCACGAAACCAGATCGGCCGACCTGTAACGTTACACTCTCACTCAAAGGATGGACGATCTGACAGGATTGTTACTATGATGTGAATCACATCTAACGTGTTTAGTAAAGACAAACTCACCGTGTCTATCTAGTCATGATGAAGATGTATATA